TCAGCGGTTGTGAGTATGTAATCTAAGGTTTATGTATTGCCCATCAGCGCCATTGTCTGTTCGGCCGAACTCGGGATAATCCGCCACGTCACAATACTCTACGTCCTTGCCTTACGCGAAATTCGAACACACAGTCCGGGTGCAACTCATTCTTTGGCGCACGTTTAATTCAGATGTTTTGGTTCAAAAGCAAGGTGGAACGTTTATAGAAAACGTGGACAGTTGATTACTTTCTCGCCTTACTTCGTAAGAAGAGAAATTATTGTAATCGTGAGTCAGAAAACGAAGAATAGAACTAGTTTTATATGTCGTTGATTCCTAAAAATCGATTGAAGGCAAAATGTTGGTCTTTCCCTCTGCCCATCTATCCGTCCGTCTACGGTGAGGTCCTAAACCGTTCCGTCGATTTTCTCAGAAACTTATATTCTTCGATCAATTTACATGAACTCGAGGGCTTGCAAGTTTAATATGGATGTACCGATTTTTGAAGGTACTTTACATGAAAGCTCAATTTAATTTTCAAATTTCTTTTAAAAATGGCTCCAATTTTTTTGGATTAAACTTAGCCCTTGGATAACTTAATGCTTAAAAGTCTTGCTCAGGTCTCTTTTTCATTGAAATTCTTGATTTTTCGAAAATTGCAGAAGTTCATATTGTTTTGGGGCCTATTCCTGTAACTACAATATTGAAGATATAGAGTTCCCTTCCTTTTCCTGAATGGAATCTGTTCTTTAAACACAGATCTTGAAATTGGGGCAAGTTCAATTTTCGAAGGTAAGGTTGTTTTCGCACAATTTTGCATGAAATATAGGCAGCTTTTAAACAATTTTTTTTCTAAAAACGGCTCCGATATTTTTCTTTACATTTTTCTCCTATTATGTATGTTTCTCCTATTATGTATGTATTAAGGAGCCCCGTTTTCGGTAAACTCTGTATTTTTGTAAATTTCAAAAACTTTCCATTACAAAATTACTATATTGAAGATAGAGCTTTTTTGTTTTAAATGAAATATGTTCTTTTACATCTTTAAGAAATGTTATGGACATTTGTTTTTTAAAAAATAGCAGTTTTTAATAGTTTTTGATTGAAGTCAATGCAAATTATTTTTAAAAAGTTCTCAAAACCGCTCCAAATGTTTTCGTCAAATGTTTCTCACGGATAAAATAAGGAATGCTTAAAAGAATAGCGCAGATCTCGTTTTCCTTGAATTATCAGATTTTTCGAAAATTGAAAATTTGTAAATAATGCTAGAAAATATGTGCTGTTGTTGCATCACTAGTGTTTCCATTGTATTAGTGAAACTATGGAAAGTTCGAAACAAATTAATATTTAAATATAGTTTAATACATAAAATATTTTTGATAAAAAGTCGGGAAACCTGATGCGGAGAAATAAAATTATTGGCTTATTTCAACGAGTAACTTTCAATTATTTTTTGGTGTGAACATTGTTTTTTATTGGGAAATGGGAGATATTATTTTCAACTGCAACGGACGTAGTTGAAGATTAGTAGTACTTATTTTTTGTAAATGTCGTAAATGGCAAATCTAAATTTAATGTATACGAATTACTAAATTTTTACGAATGACTGAATTTATACGAATGACTAAATTTTATGTATATTTTATGCATTCGAAATTTTATGTGAACGCACGACGTCGGGGTGACCATAAACTTTGCCCCTTCTCCAAACGCCCCTCCAACTCTCCCTCTCTTAATGTAAGAACGTACACTAATACAAATGACTAGGTTTATAGTTGTTCAGACAGGTTCATTAGTCTTAAACTATCACTAAAAGAAACTCATTAAAAGGCATGCTTGACTCGTGGCTGTCGTCGCCCCTTCTCTTCTGGTAGCTAATCAATAGTCTTCTCATTCTTCTTTAACTCATTGTTTCGTAGGATTTTATGGATACTGCGGTTTGACGCACGCCTTCAAGGGTTGCCGCTAGAGGCGTCTAGAGCAACAGAGCGGTGTATGTGCAACGGTTGTGGGTTCAGTGTATGTTATTTTTGCCCCACAACCTGACAGCCACTACTCCTTTACCACCACTGCCGCCACCGCTTCCAATACCACTGCTGCCGACGCCCCCGTCGCCGTACCACCACCACGATAAATGACGCAAGTAAAACGTAGTTATAATTTCATTGTGTATCGGCTGCACAATCACTGCAAATTCAGCTACTCGGGCATGAACTAATTGCCCTCCTCGACTGCTCTCGTTCATTGTTTTGTTCGTTGAAATTAATGAATCAGTTACCAAAAAAAGAAAAAAATGTTTTAAACAAAAAACCTGTACCACAACTCATAAAATTATACATCAGACTTTAAAATTAGTGCAAAGCGGTAGGAGATGTTGCAAGATATTTGATATAAGCCCCCCAACGTAATGAGAATATCGATTTTAGAATTAAATTATGAACTTCTATAAATCGATAATTTAAACATTCATGTATGTCTTCTTCCCATTGCAAGTGCTTTGCTAGTGTGTGTATGCCAATAATAAGTGGGTTAGATTTAATTTTTATAAACATAAACTCTCACGTCTCTTCCTTGAACACGACCATTCAACAGATCAGATTTTAAGCTCCTGTACTGTATCTTAGAACCAGTGGGCTTCCCCATATTTCCCCAATAAGACCTTCCACATATTTCTATAGAAATATAATCGTATTTTATTTGTTAAAATACAATAGTATTAAATATTAAGTGTAGTATTTACTATGATTTCTCCGAGGGAAGAACGTAGAGTATCTATTAAAGTAGCGAAGCGACACCGCCAACAACACATCGGTGTTCAAAATTATATCATCTATATTAACAAAACAAGGTCCCAAAATTAATGATTTTTAACTGCTTTAATAACCATTAATGTTCATGCGGGGGAAGGAATTAATTTTACGCTTTTCGAGTTATGATTTTCAATTGACACTTAACTAACATTGTAAAAAATAATCAGGACATTGAACAAAACTTTTGTTATCTGACAGGATTATTAACAAAATTACATTAACTTCGTTTTTTGACGAATATTCGAAGAATGGATATCTGAACATTTTACAAGGATTTTATCTTGACGGTACTTTTTTCATTTGACGGTACATTTTCGTAGAGTGCGTCTACGTATTACCAATTCCGTAGACTCATAGAAGCGTGGGTATGAGTAAATTTCCTTCATCCTTCGAATAAATGTCTACAAAGCAATGCGCAAATCCTCTCCTTCTCCTAACTCAGGGAACTTCTAAAAATGCAACTATTAGTACGACAGAAGTGAAGTAAATTGTTAAGATGCAATGAACGGGTAGGCGAGAGATTTCACAATAATCGTCAATTCTCTGTTTTTCTTTGTGATTGGAAATTGTCCTTGCGTTCTTGAGGTGAGGGGCGGACTCATAAATTTCAAACCTATGTTGACGTTGAAGCCTTCTTGTGGGATCGATCTGTCTTCAGTATTTGAAAGTCAAACAATCTTCCTCGGACCGTTTTAATGAAAACGTCTAGCCCTTTAATAACTTGAGCAACGTATATTTTGTCTAAGAAAAGTAAAATAGATTATCGTTGAGTCAGTGTCATTAGTTTTTGATATAAAATGCGCAATGCGGGCAGAAATTTAAAGAAAATTAAGAACTCTCTGGCTATGTCAGATGTTTCTTATGTTTCGTTAACACCCAAGAACTCGTGCCAAAATACAAAAAGAATGACACAGCTTCGATTTTTATTGAAAAAGCAAATATTTGAGTGTATTACACCATCTACTACTTTTCTCCGCATACCGACTGAATTCTCATAATCAGTGCGCACTGCTTACGACCTAGCTGATGTCATGTAACAGCAAGTATAAAAAAGGAGGCAGCCGACCATTCAATTTTTACTGTACATTTGTTGCGTTATGGAACAGCGACATATTTGATATTCTTGGTATGTAAAGAACTGCTGTACTCTGTATCTACTGTTGCTGTTTTATGGTGTTAGAGTATTCATAAAGACAAAATTTTGTTAAAATATTGAATATATTGCAATGAACAGTACGCAGTGTGCTTGAAGTAAAGGCTATTTACAAAAATAATGTTCCCAAAAAGGCTCCAATTCTTGCTTTCTCGGGTAGGTACGTATGACGGAGAAATACACGTAGTATAGAGAAAGTTAAATGTAATGCTGCGGAAAATCTATTTCGAGATTTCAATAGAAATACACGCCTTGGAATCCCCTGATGTCTAAAAGGTGTTTTTTTCAAAACGTCCGTCCATTAGTTTGTTTTTCTCTCTGTCCGTCTGTGAACAACACTAACTCCTAAAATGTTTGAAGAACTTTTTTTCGACATGAATATTCCCCGATTGATCTAGCCCGACTCGAAACTCCACCACTTTGCAAAACAAAATTTCGCTGGAACTATTCATGAAGCTCCTGGGACATTTTTCCGATTTTCACTCTTAACTCTGAATTTTCGAAAAACTACGAAAGTTTAAAATTATTTCTGCGTCTTACTACATTAAAATACATTAAATTTTTTCAAGTAAAATTTGTTCTCCACAATCAGTTCTTTAATTACCGTCACATTATTTGTTAAATACATAAGTTAGTTTTGCGTAATTTTGATATTGTGCTAAGGGTGAATAAAGAATCGCTATCAAGAAAAATCGTGTCTCTTTACGTGGTTGCTTATAACGCATCTTTTTCGATCTACAAAATAAAAACAAAAGATTATTTGAGGTTAATAAAGATAGCAAAACAGATTAAAATATCTAAATTACTACAGATTTTGGTAAAAAAATATATCTTTTCATATTTAATGAATTTGGAACACAAAATTACGAATGTAATGGTAAATTTACCTATTGATTAATGTTTACATATTACTTTTTTATAACATAATTATAATTATAATGTTATTCGGATAATTGAAATCATCGTGACGTATTACTACAAGAAATTTAAATTCCCTCCTACTGGGTTCGAGTATTTTCCACCAGATATCGTGACGCCGACGCCTCCGAAGATAACCATATTCTCCTACTTGCTTTCAACCAATCCCTGCGGGTTTTCCAATGCAAGTGTGTTTGAAATCGGCTTTCATATATGGTCGGTACGGTCGGTCGACTTGTCTGTTAAATGAGTTGTATGTGTGACAACCGTGTGGTGCGTTTAACTGCAACCCGTATTTATTCCTACAATTAGAGTGTATGAATTAGATACAATTAGTCATTTTCGATGTAAATGTTAGTGTCAGATCAATAGTTTCGTATTTTTTACGTTTATTACTTATAGAAGAATTGAACGGTGAGTCAACTGTCAAAGGGTATGAACTTTTGCCTGGTTTAAATCTACCTGCTGAGAATTGAACCAAATTAGCTACTCATTCTCTGAAAGTTAGATATTTACAATGTAGAAACGTTGCTTTCCTTTGCGTTCATCGTATTGGTAGGCTTATATACGTTACCTGTATTCGAATGTGCATATGAGCCATAGGCATAACGATTTCGTGAATTCGTTTCACTTTTTTAAATATCTTTTGTGATTTTTATACTTCAAAATGTGATGCTGAACTTTCTGAGGATTGCTTTAATAAATTTGCTGGGTTTCGTGAAATGTGCCTGATGCAACACATTGTAAATGGAAGAAAAAAATAATTCTTTATTAACCCAAATGTTCTTAGAATATCTTATTCATGTTTACCACAATCATTTATAGAATCCTGAGGTATTGTTTTAATTTAGTACTCTAATTGTTTCAGGACTTAGTAATTTTTTAATGTCTCTTTGGACTTTTGCTGTTCAAATTGTAGCTCTTGGAAGTAATTACATTGTGTTGAAACAATTTATTTCTCATTAATATTGTTTCTCCAGACTTTTTTCATATTAAATTTTGTTTCTGTTGTCAAAATTTAAATTCAAAACATTGTTTTTCTTTACCTAAATCTTGCCACCAATTTTTTTTAACTTGTGTAGGATTTTTTAAGGTGTTTCTTTTTATTTTACAAACAATCTTAGCTTCATTTTCTCTTTTGTGTTTTTGATTATTCTGATTGTTTTGCCTTTATGAATTTCTTTAGTTATATTCTTTCATTTCAATATTTATTCATTGAGAGTTTGTAATATTCCACATATTTTTACATCAAAAGGAATGAGCCTTTGCTGTGGAGCCTAAGTCTAAAATGATTGTCGTTATGTACCATAATTTAATTTGTTCAAATGTTAGATTGTTTTCAACCCGGAATATGTTGTTTCCAGTTATAATGTACTATCATAATGTGATTTTTCTGCATCTAGTTTTTGCCTTTTCTTACCTTCACTGTGAGCAACAATTTGTTTATCCTAACTTCTAAGATTTCCAAGTCTTGGTCTCTTACTTATAGGCTAGTGTTTGAGCATTGATTAGTTTATGCAGTTCTGTTTAAGTCCACTAGTTTCATAATCTTTCATTATCAACTCTTCTTTTTTGGAACCATTGGTTAAACATATACACATTTTATTAAAAGCAATTTTACATGTACTGGACCTGCTTACTCTAAATATTGTGATCTTACGAAAAAATTTTATGAATCAGTCAAAATGTGAATGAATTAAAATAAGAAACATGTTATTTATAATCGCCATTTAAGGTACCTGAATTTATTCCCTAGGGGAATTGGAATAAAAAGTCTGTATATTTTTAAAATAAACAGTGTGAATATAAAGTGCATTTATCATTTGAATTTTAAAATTTAAACATGGGTAGTTAGTAATAATTGTTACTGAACAAAGGGATTAAAAATCTATTGTTAATGCTAAACATGAATTAGTTGTGTAATCTAGAAAATCAAATGTAAGATTGGGTAAGATTAGGTTTATTTGAAATTTCATGTTTCCACTTGACACTTCACTTTTGGCAGTTAATTGGCCTCTGACCTCAAACTTTACCAGCTAGAGCCTTTTACCATATGACAAAGACTTGATGGCCAACCTATAGTGTACTTGTACTTATAATATTTTGACTTAGAATAACAGCTTTACATGTTTGTTTAAAAAATTGAACATAAATTAAAGGAAAGCTAGTTGGCCTGAAGATGAAGTCAAGTTATTCTTGAAACATTGTATTAAATCTGAAAATCTCAAATACATATTTGGCACAGTGTCTTGTACTGTATTGTCTTAAATAACAGGAACTTATAAAAGCCTATTAATGATCCAATCACACTATCTACAACAAGTGATAATATATATTCTTATCTAAGTTTTTCTAAATTAAACTAAAAAGCAATAAATAGATAAAATATCTATAAAAATATTTAAAAAATGCATTTTGCACGCTTTAATGCATTAGTTATGTAATGCAAAGCAAAAGAAAAATAATTGGCAAAAGTTATTTGGCTCAAACAAGGGTTGAGAAAAACTTACTGACTCTGAAGAATTGATGGAAGTTTTAAGCTCTTTATGTTTAATTCTGCCTTCAGTCTATATTGGTGTAGTTTAAAAAAGTTTTACCTCTTAGGAAACTTTTCTATTTTTTTTAAGGGAATAAAGGAGGAAAATTGGAGATGTTTGTGTCCTTTTCTGTATTTATTATGTTATCTGTTATTTTATGTTGTTTGTATAACTATATTGTTTTTAAGCCATATAATGACAATTTACAAGTAAAATTTCATATAATTTTGCCGAACTAATTCAGCAAAGGTGTACATGTACCTTCCTAATATTTCTCTAATACACAAGTGACAAAGGAAACAAACTTGCCCCAGGAATGGATAAGGAGAGAGAGTTGATGAGACAAATTTTATTCCCTTCTCACAAAACAGGATTGCATTGAGACAGAGTAGTATTATAATATTCTTTTGTTTTGGCACTCGTGTGTGCATGTGGATGTTATTGACCTTTAAAGATTCTGTAGTATCTTTTGAAGAGGTCTCATACCATTCATTGTTTCAAAATTGAAGTGCTTTAATTTTAATTGTTCTTATGTAATGTTGGAGCTTATGGATTGAATACTCCGTAACTCAAATACATGTTATTGCATTCTTTGTTGGAAAAAGAATTACAATTCAAATTATATTTGCAGGTGCTGAGCAGTGACAATGGAAGAAGGAAATGAATATTTAAAACTGCCAATTGATGAACAGTGTGTTCACAAGGTATGGAAAAATTAAGAAAGACGAAAGATTTGACGTTAATGGAAAAATTTCTGGTTGGCTTAAGGAACACTGGAAAAAGTTTTCTTTTTTTTTTTTTTTTAATTTTTTTAAAGCTGTTTTGCCCCCTCTACACCCCTGCTTTTTGCTTTGTTTGTTAAGGTTTGTTATGTAATTTGATCCCAAAAAGTTATTGTATCCAAAATTAAAAGTTGCTTTCAAAGTTAAAAATTCATTGAATTAAAATATAATCTCTTAAATGAGAAATAAGCAATAATATCTTTTAAATGGAAAAGCAGTGCTGGTATTAAAAATATTCTTTAAGAACACTTTAACAACATGCTTGATAGTAATTTTTTTGGAGGTATAATTCTATTATATTAGTGTACGATAGTTAAATAGTAGTCTAACATAAAAATTAGGGCTCTCAAAAACTACTGAAGATGATTAAGAAAATAAACGATAATATCGAAGCTTCATTTGTGTTCAGAAGAAAAATGAGGTGCCATCTTAGCATTTGCTCGGTGGATTAAAGGAAACTGAGAATCATTTCCATGTAGTAAGGAGGATGGTATTAGGAAAGTATCATACATTTTTTTTTCATGTCGTATCAAAGACATGTTTGGGAGATTTTTGTGTGAATTTGTTGATCATTCTAAAACCTTGGGGTCCTATTTTCACCCATGATGTACATTTGTTATCAACCAAGTGTACTTTTGAGGAGATATTCACAGTAGTAGCAAAGATCAACAATTACCCTCCATTGTGTAAGATATGTAATCGTTATTAACCTCCTTCTATAATAACCACAGAAATGTGTAAATTTTGAAGGAAAATATGAAGAAAAGAAATACTAGAAGAAAGGAACGCATTTAATTTTGTAATGAAATTAGTAGCATTTCAGAGTTTATTGTTAATGCCTACTTTATTTAATTTCTTATTTTGGCTGGTAAACTCTCCTTTCCCTTGCAGATGGTTAATAGAGAGAATCAATGTAAAACTGGTTTGTAAAGATTGTTTTTGTATTCTCTAAAATTTTCTTCACAAACCAGCAACATTTTATTTTGATATCTTTGAATTTTAATTATGAAACAAAAAGGTTATACACTGTACATATTTAATTTTTGAAGTATCCACAAACAACAATTAAATTGAGATTGCTCGATTATGTATTCAAATCATTGTCATTCCTTTCAAAATTTCTTCCATTTCACACGTCTTGGGTGCATGCAACCTTGGCCGAACATAATGGTTCAACAACGATGGAAGTTCATAAATCTGGGGAGAATGATAATGAAGTTGAGAGGGCTTGACATTTTTTCTATTCTCAGCCTAGAAATTGTTGTAAATTTTTATTTCAGTAGTGCCTTTCTAAAATGTTTATAAGAATTGTAATATCTTTAGACTGCATCATATTTTGGATAATCATCTTTTAAGCTTTGTTTGCTTTACCATTAGTTTCCAAAAATATCTTGATAAGTCTTTATTATTCCTTTACTCATTCTCATAGTTGTAAATACTGAGATAATCATTTCTTGATTTTCATTTCAATCTGCTATAAAAAGCATTTTCAATTTCCATGCTATTTACTATTTCTACTGAAAGTTCTAAATATTTATGCATAGATTTGCATATAGATATTCATGTGTAAGTTAGCTGTTGGGTTATAGAAAAGGGATCATCAATAAATTACATAATGCCCAACACAGTGGGAGGGATTTGAGCCAATGTTATTCTGCGTTAAATAGGGCTAGGTAAATAGTAGTTAACTTAGTGTTACATATTACAATTTTTTCCAACATTTGTTGAAATCCTTAATTTCTTCACTTGTTTACTAAAGTATTTAAATATTAACTAATTATTTTTTTAAAATTGAAGTGTTTGTATATATTGTAACAATAAACAGAAATATGTTTTATTAATTTTCTGATTGATTGATTGATTGAATCTGTATCATTGTGAAAGGAAAATATTCAAAACTGATCTATATTCTAGAATCCAATTAAATTGACTCTCTCCACATGTGACATCCATGACGGCTTGTGAAAGGATTGTTGTCAAACCTTTTCATGTCAATACGTTCTTCCTTTACAGAAAATTGTTCCCGATCTTATTGTCGAGTGTAGTCAACTAATTCTGACTTTATTGATCACAAATTTTAATATGTAACTCAAATAAAAATAATACAAATTATTTTACTGTAATAATTATTTTTACTTCTTGTAAATGGGAGGGTGTTGTCCCGAGCGTTATGTAAATATTTGTGGGGGAGGGGGAGATCAAGCTCGCATTATGGCTGTGTTACAGGGGGAGAGGGGGTATACAAAATACCCAAATTACTGCTATGTAATTTATGAATGGTCTCTAAAAAGTAAATTCAGTTGTCGTATAAACATCTACTATTTAATATTTCGTGAGTGAAACATTCACACAATTACAGGAACTCTTCTTGATAATCATTTTTCGCTGTTCATTTTGATGTTTTGTAGTATTTGTGCTGTCTATGAAAATGCTGCTATGAAATCTGTTCTGTTATCTTTTCCAGATCCAAAAGATTTTAGAAATGTAAAGAATAATCATTTGCTTCCTGGGAAGTCTAATAGTGTGTTTATTAATTTTTTAGGTTCATCAGTAACAAAGCTAATTAATTTAGAAAATAGTGTAGATAAAAAATAGCTTAGCTTAGAAATAACTTAGCAAATACACATTGATATATAATGCATAGTAATATTTGATTATCATTATATAAAATAATTATTGCTGTTTACATCCCATATAAAATAATGTCTCTTTTATTTTTATGGCACTTTTTACACAATCCTTAAAGTAATATTGATACAGTGTAGTGAAATACAAGTTTAGATTTTCTTTTAAAGAAACTGAAGGGAATATACTTCAATTTTTCCAGTTATGGAAGGCTAGAGTGCATGGCTATGAAGAAGCTGCAAAATTATTCCAGCAGCTGGATGATGAAAAATCTCCTGAATTTTCCAAATATCTTGGTTTGGTAAAAAAATTTGTTATTGATAGCAATGCAGTCGCTCAGGAAAAAGGTCTTGAAGCTGTACTTGCTTTTGTGGAAAACTCAGCTATGGCTGGAAAGTAAGTACTGAGAATTAATGAAGTAGAAAATCAGGTATATTATTTTTTTCTCAGTGCGCAGCAAGAAAATACTGTCTCATTCAATGTTTACAGAACTGTTGGAGAAGTAATGAATGGTATTGTGAGCAAGTGCATTGCAGCTCCAAAAGCAAAAACAAAAGAATTAGCTGTTCAAGTAACTCTAATGTATATAGAAATAGAAAAGTATGAAGCTGTTCAGGAAGAGTTACTTAAAGGCATGGAACACAAGAATCCTAAAATAATGGCAGCTTGTGTGACTGCAATGACTTTGGCATTGAGGTTTGTTGTTTTATTCATAGTATAATGTTCAGAAAAAGTTGCGATATTTTATTACGTCTATATATTTTAATTCTATAATTAACTTGATGTTTGATTTGTTTTTACTTAACATTGCTTTCCAGGGAATTTGGAATTAAAATAATAAACATAAAACCATTAGTTAAGAAAGTACCAGTGTTGTTGGAAGATAGAGATAAAGGAGTAAGAGATGAAGGGAAAGCGATGGTAATTGAAATGTACAGATGGATAGGTGCAGCTCTTCAACCACAACTTAAGGATTTAAAACCTGTACAGGTGAGTTGATTAGAGCACAGAAGTAGCCTTTAAAAGAGGTGTTATTATGGCTAGAAAAATTGCAAAGGTGCTAGAAGTGAGATTGAAATAATTTATTATTTGTCAAATGTGTAAATGGTGCACTGTTGCACAGATTTAAAACTATTGGACTCTTCCTCAAAGGATTATAGGGTATAAGATGAACACGTAAGCGTAAGGAAATAACTACTATGAAAAACTAAATGTAATATTCATGTATAGACATTATAGGTGTGATCAACAAAATAAAGCTTTCCTTAGTATGGCAGTGTATAGTGTACTCTGAAATAATTTGGGAAACATATTGGCAAGTGTCAGTAACCTGGTTATTGATAATCTTGTATCTGAAATGTGTGTCAAAATTTTATTGTTATTATAAAAATAAAATGTTTGTATGTCTGTTTTAATGGCGTACTTTTATTCATATTTATCACAGATATGTATTGAACTATATTCGATATATTTTAAATATTTAAAATCTCTAATGCTGTTACTGAGTATACTGCCTGAAACTCTTCTTGGTTTTGTTGAATGTAATCTGCCATGCTAAAATAAAACTACTATAGGTTGATAGTTAAACAGGCCTTATTTTATTTATGTAGTCGGACTTTGGTATTAATGAATCTACATTATTTTAGGTTACAGAATTGGAGGCTGAGTTTGAAAAAGTGAAGGGAGAAAGAGCTGTGCCAACTCGCTACATAAAATCTCAGCAACAGAAACAAGCGGCTCTTGTTGCGAGTGGTGGGGGTGGGGATGGTGATGGTAAGTTGTTGTTATTCTTATGATGATTATTAAATTTTTATTGGTTTCAAATTCTAAAAGTTCAATATGTAATTGAAACTCAAAGAAGAAATTATATTAATGAATACTTTGAACTTGTATGAAGGTTATTGTTTTTAAAAGGTCTGTGATGAAAAATATATTATTTGGTTTTAGCAATTGATTATACCATAGACGAGTGATTATAAAATTCTTGAGTAAATTGTACTTTCAGTTACGATAATTTTTCTGCGGTTTTTATACTCGTGAAAATGAGTGGAGAATTTTTTAACTTTTTATACTTCATAAATTTCATTTATTTGAATTCTTGATGGTCATTCGTTACATCATTCTTGCCGTGAAGTTGGTCTAAACCAGAGCTAGTCACATTTTTGCTCCCTGGAACAAAGGTCATTTGCTTCTGATTCTTGAAAAGGTGTCAGTGATTGACAGACAAAGGAGTTTTGTAGGTCCCAATGCCAAAAGGTTTTTTCGTACATCTGTTCATAATACTTGTTACTTTCTTATGTTTGTATAGTTGTCAAAAATTTTCAGGGTCTTTAGTATGAAAGTGTTTCAAATTTGAAATCTTTTAATTTTTGGAGGTACATTATGTAACGACTATAGGATAGATAAATATTTTCTCAAAAATGGCACGATATTTTTCTTTGCTTTTTTGGGGGTAGAGAGATGTATGCTTATAAAAATTGCATAGATCTTATTTTCATTTAAACCAGTAAAATTTCAAAAATTGCGGAAGCAAATTTTTCAGGAATCTTATAAAACTGGTTGCAATGCTTATTTTAATAAAAAAAAATTATAATTTTTTCTCTTTGGAAAGTTGTTATAAATCTGTACACAAAAGACTTGAATAAAATAAGAAAAAGAGGATTTTTTAAAAATAATGCCTTTTTTCCAACAAGGTTGTATTATCATTCAATGAATGATCAATCTTGCATCATATTTTCTGGATATTCATAAAATTAATGGAAACAAATTGTACAATCTTATCAGTGAAAAACATTTTCCAAGCAACGAGTGTTTAGGATTATTTAGGGGGTTTTAAAGTTTGCATAAAAAGATCAGTATTTTTGTGGAATACGTGCGTTCTTACCTAGTAGATCTTGTTGTTTCAATGCAGACAAATGGACAATTTGTTGTTGTTGTTTTGTTGTTTTTTTTAACAAATTTTTAAACAAATTTTCTCCTCAGATGTATGAAAGGATGGTGCTATTCTCATTTCTGGTGAACTGTCTGTATTTTCGAAAATTGCAAAATTTTAGCATTGGCAAATTACCAAATTGAAGAAAAAGATTTTTGCTTTCAACAAAATCTGTTCTAATTTGCGTTGTTGCTTCTGTTGCGTAATTTGTTCTTGAAATGTATGCAGGAGGGAAAAAAAAAAAAAAAGCTTTCTCTCAAAAAATACTCAAAATTTTTTCCACGTATAGAAAAAAGGAACACTGAAAAGAATAGCACAGGTCTCGTTTCCATTCAAGTGTCATATTTTTGAAAATTGTAAAAACTACAAAATTTAAAATAATTTTTGCCTTAAACAAAATATTAGGTTTTGCATAATTTTTGCCTGGAATTCATGAAATATAAAGGTCCCCCAGCAACTATGGGCCAAGAGAGAAGTTCTCAGGGAATCAAAATGAATGAAAAGAATACAAAAAACCAATAATGTTATTTTTATAATAATTTAATATTGAAATTCCAGTTTTTCTCTATTCGCAATGTATTTTGTTTATTCTTTCAACCAATCTGCTAACCTTAAGCTAACTGAAATTAGTCCAATTAAGGTTTTTCTCTTAAAAATAAAATTTATTTGTAATGTAGAAAAAAAGTATGAACATGTAGAAAAATTCAGTAATTTTATTATTATTATTATTATTGTTGTTGTTGTTTAGTTAATTAGTAAGTTATTTATGAAGAATTCCTTAATATAATCTTGTGTTAAATGAACTGTATTCTTTGCAGATGGAGATGGAAATGATGCTTGTGATGCACCAGAGGAAATTGATCCTTATGATTTAATGGAGCCTGTTGATATTTTGTCAAAACTACCAAAAGATTTTTATGAGAAAGTGGAGAGTAAAAAATGGGCAGAGCGTAAAGAAGCCATGGAGGCTTTGGAGCAGTTGCTTCAAGCTCCAAAGTTAGAGAGTGGAGATTATGGTGATTTGGTTAGAGCTTTAAAAAAAGTGAGTGGCTATAATGTTTTCATTTTACTGATGAATACAGCTGACGAAAATTAGAATGAATTACTTATTTTTAATTATAATAGTCTTTAAATGTAGAGTTGTAGGATGTCTTTTTATATAGAATAATACTTTACATAAACTTTCCGAACTTCCTATCCTCTCTTCGCTCATTGAGATTTTTAACATTTAGAGTTTTGTCTTGCTTTATCTTGTTCATTTTTCTTATATCGGTTTTGACTCTCCCACATAATTGAAATGTGTTAAATCCTTGCAATGAAAGCTTCTTAAGGTTATTCTTTTTTAACAGTGATATATCAGTGTTCAGAAATAAGGATTCTTAGTTTCATTTACAGAATTTTAATATTGTTCATTGATCTTAACAGATAATTACCAAAGACACCAATGTAATGGTAATAGCTCTTGCAGCAAAGTGCCTGGCAGCTTTAGGGAATGGCCTGAAAAAACGGTTCCAGCCATATGCAAGTGCCTGCATTCCAGCTATTTTAGAAAAATTTCGTGAAAAGAAACAGAATGTTGTAATTGCATTGAAAGAAGCTATTGATGCTGTTTTTATTAGTGTAAGTATATGCACTACTTAATCACTATTCAAATTTTCTTAATTGCAGATTGAAAAATTTTCTTTCTTTTTGTAGACAACTATTGAAGCCATTCAGGAAGATGTCCTAGCTGCATTAGAAAACAAGAATCCATCTGTGAAGGCAGAAACTGCAGCATTTCTTGCTAGATGTTTTACAAAATGTACACCGGCTGTACTGAATAAAAAGATTTTAAAAGCCTATACTACTTCATTGCTGAAGCTTCTAAATGATCCTGGTAAGGAAATGTTTGTCATGTTTGTAAATTATTTAAACATTGTAGAATGAATTTGAGTATTGAGTTTATTTAAATTGAATTATTTTATTGCAACATTGAACTATTTTCAGACCCTACTGTTCGTGATAATTCTGCAGAAGCCCTTGGTACAGCTATGAAAGTTGTTGGTGAGAAAGTTATTAATCCTTTCATGGCTGATATTGAGGCTATTAAAAAGACCAAGGTAAGACATGAAAATGACATACTTGACCCATGGTTTTGTGGTTATTAAAATTTATATTTTATTTAAGATTGTGTTCAATTTCAGTATTGCTTGCTGATAAGTAGAGATCAGATTTATGTGCACTAATCCATGATATATGTATGCATTTATGCATTAAAAATGTTTAAAAAAACCTAAAAGAATATATATTCCATCCTAA